AGACACACACCTTGCATCCCTTATGCATACAAACACAGATTCACACAATGCATCCCTTACACACAACCAGAAACACATAATACATCCCTTATACACATACACACTGCTTCCACTACACACAAACACACTACATCACCTGCACAAACTGGTAACCCTATACACTACATACCATAAGCACACATATTAGATCCTCTACAACACATAACACATCCCCTACACACTCCACTCCCTGTGAGCGAACTCATGGGTGGGTGGAACTTATGAGTGGGCCTTATGGGCATACTCACCGTCAGGCCCTGGGGCCCAGACCTTGAGCTGTGTAAGGGGCCCAAAAAAATGGAGCTGTTTCCAATTCTCCCAGAACATTGAATTTTATGACCACAGCTGCAAACAGCCTCCAGAGATCCTGTTCTACACCAGACCAGTGGAGCCAAACTGCAGCCCATCATCATCCTCATCTGCTTGTAAGTAGGCAATCTAGTATATTATTAGTGACACTAATCTATAATGTACCTCACATTAAAGGGACACTATAGCTTAATGAAGTGGTTCTGGTGTCTATAGCTGGTCCCTGCAGGTTTTTTAATGTAAACACACACTGTGTGCAGCACTGGCGTTAGTTCATATGGGTGGGGCATTGTGATGTCACATGGGGGCAGCAAATTTTTATTTTGTCTAGGGCGGCAAAAATCCTTGCACCGGCACTGATCCTGGGCAGGTGCACCAGTCTACTGGTGACCCACAGGAGGGGAGTGCACTGATTGCACTGCACTCTCCTCCTGTCCAGCCCCATCTTTACCGCAGTGCAAGTGCCCTCTGCCCCTAATTTACAGTGGCTCACACTCACAACAAGCAGTGCCTGGAGCCGTGAAGGAGCTGGTATGGCAAAGAGCTGCTGATTAGCATAACATCAATATCCGTTATAAAACCAGGAAAAGGTGGGCATGGATGGTGAACTGATTTGGTGGTGCAATGGGCCACTTGACTGGTTTTGCCCCCCAGGCCTAAGGCTGCCAGCCCTCCCCTGCTAGCCGTTGGTGGTATATGGCATTGTTAAGGCCAGTCATTATTGGTATATAATATTGTTAAGGCTAGTCGTTGTTGTCTTGTAGCATTGTTAAGGATAGTCGTTGTTGTCTTGTAGCATTGTTAAGGCTAGCTGTTGCTGGTATATAACATTGTTATGGCCAGTCATTGCTGGTAAATGGCATTGTTAAGGCTAGCTGTTGCTGGTATATGGCATTGGTAAGGCTGCTGGTATATGGTATTGTTAAAACTAGCTGTTATTGGTATATAATATTGTTAAGTTTATAAAAATGTTAAGGCTAGCCGTTGCTGGTATATGGCATTGTTAAGGCTAGACGTTGCTGGTATATGGCATTGTTAAGGCTAGCTGTTGCTGGTATATGGCATTGTTAAGGCTAGCCGTTGCTGGTATACGGCATTGTTAAGGCTACCTGTTGCTGGTATACGGCATTGTTAAGGCTACCTGTTGCTGGTATACAGTATTGTCAAGGCTAGCCGTTGCTGGTATATGGCATTGTTAAGGCTAGCTGTTGCTGGTATATGGCATTGTTAAGGCTAGCCGTTGCTGGTATATGGCATTGTTAAGGCTAGCTGTTGCTGGTATATGGAATTGTTAAGGCTAGCCGTTGCTGGTATATGGCATTGTTAAAGCTAGCTGTTGCTGGTATATGGCATTGTTAAGGCTAGCCGTTGCTGGTATATGGCATTGTTAAAGCTAGCCGTTGCTGGTATATGGCATTGTTAAGGCTAGCCGTTGCTGGTATATGGCATTGTTAAAGCTAGCTGTTGCTGGTATATGGCATTGTTAAGGCTAGCCGTTGCTGGTATATGGCATTGTTAAGGCTAGCTGTTGATGGTATATGGCATTGTTCTCTAAGGTTCTGAGTTTTCATATTTTTGGTTTTAGTCACTAGGCAGCCAATGCATAGTCCAATTATTTGTGGGCTGCCCTACCAAGTATGGTTACATGAAAATGCCATAGTTTTTTACTCACCTAAGCATGGACGACCAATGTCCTTGAAATCCTCATTTTATGTCCATTGAAAAAGGCATCCTCTTAATAAGAAATAAATCAATTAAACTTAAAAGTACCAAAGCAACAAGATAAACAATAAATAAACCAAAACACAGAAGAGAGACCCATGCAGCCAACTGGCTGGATTAAAAATGACCTTGTGCAGCTATTCACACTGTGATGTAATGTGATGTCATGCACAGCCAACTACACTGACATCACAGGGATTGTGATTGTCTGGACCAGGCTTCCCCAAACTCTGGCCCTCCAGATGTTGCTGACCTACAGCTCCCATGATTCTATGAATGAAATAGATAGGCTGAGAATCATGGGAGTTGTAGTTCAGCAACATCTGGAGGGCCGGAGTTTGGGGAAGTCTGGTCTGGACAATCAAGCCAGTCTTGCCTAGGTTAAGTGGTTTAAAAAAATATATATAGATATACAATCTTTGAGCTTTGAAATTAATGCCTCTGAATTGTCCCCATGTGTGTCTCAAATAACATTGTGTGGGGGTTTTTTTTTGTTTGTTTTCCCTTTCTGATACAGGGTTCTATACTAAACTGTGAATTTTAAAAATTACCAAGGACTTTTGACAATTTGCAAATAATGTAATCCTCATTAATGGAAACTATGTAGGTCATTCACTGAAGCTGAGTGGACAAAAAAATAATACCCTAACGCATTTGATCTCATCCAGCTCTCCGCTAGACTGTAAGCTCGTTTCAGCAGGATCCTCTTCAAACTAGTATTCCTATAAGTTTCTATAATTTTCTCATTTATTGTTAAATCCCCCCCTCTTATAATATTGTAAAGCGCTATGGAAAATGTTGGCGCTATATAAATACCGATAATAATAATAATTCCAGTAAATGAATAACTCAATATTGGCTAGATGGTATCTAACACCAGACCACCTATGCAGAATGGCTCCAGAACAGACTGACAGGTTGTGGTGGTGCTGGGAGGAGAGGGGCACAATGGTACATGTGTGGTGGGAGTGCATAGTAATTCAACACTTTGGAAACAAGTACAAATGGCCCTGACCAGGGTGACAGGGGAGGATACAGAGTTCATCTTGGAAGCGATGATGGTATGTAGTGTACTAGTGCCTACTTATCTCTTGAGTTTTGTGAACACCAATTAACGGAATATTGTTCTAATTCTAAAATCCTCAATTATTATATATAACCTAATATTTATACAAAATTACAAAAAAAATTTTAAAAAAATAAATATATATATATATATATATATAAAAAGATTGTAAAAAATACAATATAGAAATAAAAGTTTAGGGTTGCACTGTGAATAATGGGTTGACTGATCTCCTCCAATTAGCTTCTCTCCAACAGCCATCCTTGCTAAGTGTCTCGGGATTGTTTCCCTGCCCTACTTCTCAAGTATATAATTTTTTTCCATATTAAAACATTATTTAGCTTACCTTGGGGGGTGGGGAGGGAAGAGCACACATTTATTTGACTGTAAAACACCTTTTTCTTTTGGGCACAGGTTCTTTTGGGCACAGGTTCAACCTACAGCAATTCTAAAGTATGAATCCTTAAAAATATCACACTGTGGGGGGGGGGGGGGCGTGGCCTGAAACCGCATGGAAGCAGTAGCATAAACCGAGATCTCTGCCATTAAGTGGACTACAACAGCGAGATTCACAGCAATATTCCCAAAGAGACACATCCACGAGCTGTTGAGGAAACGGGGAAAAGATGTCCAACAAATCAACCAAAAAATTGCAACAGAAAACACTGCACTCACACCTAACAATGGGGAATAACGGCAACCAAGATGGCGCCGACCGATCAAACTCCACAAACTCGGGCTGTGATACTGGGAAGGACCAAGATGTCCCTGACATCTCCTGCACACAACCGGACACGGATGCCTCCGTGAGTAAAATGCTACACTCACTACAACAAAGTCTGTGGTCCGATTTCTCTAAAATGGCGGCAGACATTAAGGCAGACATACTGGCCTTAGGAGACAGGACGGCACACTTGAAGAGACGACAGAAGGGCTGAGAGAAGCACATAACGAACTAGCAGAAGCACACACAGCTCTGCAGCAAAAAGTGAATATGAAGATAGAGAAAGGAGAAATAATATTAGATTGAGAGGTGTACCGGAAGCTGTAGGCCCACAAGACCTAACTATGTTCGTGCTGGATATGTTTCGGGCACTTATCCCGACACTAGAGGCCTCAGAATTACGCCTTGACCGCACTCACCGACTGCCGAAACCGAGGAATCTGCCGCCCTCAACACCAAGGGAGGTAATCACAAAAGGGGGAATAGGTGTAGCGCTGTATACATACATATAGTAGGGTTGAGCCTAATAGATTAGTAAGGCATCCAAATGAGGGCAATTCCAATATCTTATACAGTCCACCTAAAACAAGCAAAAAAAGAACTCCAATAGTGTAACACCGTAAATAAAGTAATAGTGGGAGTCAAATATAGTAACAAACTCACATTCTCCTGAGCTTAATGCCAAGCTCAGGAATAGGTGCGTGTAGGTCCGTACAGGCGACCTTCCCCTTCTTCTCACAAGGTGCTTATCTCAGATCGCCTCTAGGACTCAAATGAAACAGATATATAGTGTAGAACGTCTATATAAAATACTTCTACTTCAGGTATGTAGTATACTCACAAAAGTGGAGCCTCTATATCGGCTCTGTCTCTGTACGTTGAATAAAATGTAGAACTTTTCAAAGCAGGAACCAGAAAAAGCCCATATAATAATGAAAAAATAATGATGATTTATTGCATTACAAGGGTATAAAAAAACCCTCTATAATTAATTAAAACACCAAAATACAAAACACAAAAGTATAAATCCCATTGGATCCAGCTGAGGAAGCCGTCGGAGTTACGGTGAAACGCGTTCTGGGAAGAAGTGTATGATATTGTTATGCCCATTTGTTATTCATTTGTTTATTTTATACTTTTGTGTTTTGTATTTTGGTGTTTTAATTAATTATAGAGGGTTTTTTTATACCCTTGTAATGCAATAAATCATCATTATTTTTTAATTATTATATGGGCTTTTTCTGGTTCCTGCTTTGAAAAGTTCTACATTTTATTCAACGTATTTGTGTATAACAAAGCTATAACCAATGTTTGCTTTAAGTTCCCTCCCCCTTACTGAATATGTACTGAACAAATGTCTGAGACATCGAAACTGTAACCCCTATATGCCTTTCTTTCTTCTGTACCCCATAAACATGTAAACCAATAAACAAATATTATAAAAAAAAAAAAATCACACTGCAATTAAATATATTTTGTTATATAGTAATTAACTGATCAATGTATAAGCCTCCCAGTATTGTTAGAATGCCATCTTCTATTTTTTTATTTTATTTATTTTGCTGGTATATAAAACTTTTAAACTATTCATTACAACACTGCACAGAATAGAGACACTTCTCTGTTACCCGTCTCATCCAACACATATCAGTCAAAGCCTGCAGGAAGTATGATAAAATATAAGGAAGGGGGGGGGGGGTTCATAGAGGTTAGAAATAGCTGAACTGGAAAATCTAACTTTGCATCTTTTTCATGTTGGCCTATTTTTTTTTTATTTTTTTTTTACTGTTTTTATGTGAATACTTGATTGTGAAATGGGCCTATATTACCAGAAGTAAGAACCCACTCAGATTTCCTCCCATTTCCTCCCCCAACCCTGCATAAATTGAGCAAAGGCTTATTACTATTATAATAAAAAACAATGAAAAAGTTAATTACGCTCTATCCCGAATCCCTATGCACATTTAAATAACTGGAGGTTTTTAGTATCACTCCAATGGCCATTCAGGTCTACGCTCACCTGTCACGTCAAGGCAAAATCTCTTATGGGAGTCCTAAACTAACAAGTCACCTTGCTGTCTTCAGCTATAAGGTAAGATCTATAATGCGATAGAGAGGGGTATGTTTCTAAGCCCTGCGGTCAAACTACCACTACTCCTGGGCGGCAGCAATTACTATAGTGCACATCAGCCCAATACATACAATAACATTAAAAAAAAAAAAAGAGTTATTTTTCCATTATCCCAAGTCCCTACGCACATTTAAATAACTGGTGTTTTTTTTAGTATCGCTTCAATGGCCATTCAAGTGTACATTTTATTTTTTATTGTATGTAGTGGGACTGATGTGGAATATAGTCATTGCTGCTGCCCGGGGGTAGTGGGAGTTTGAGCACAGGGTTTTTTTTTTTTAATGTTTTTATTAATACTATGCCTGGTCACTCACTAACGTATCTGGGTTGTGGAATGGGTTATTATTAGTAATAGTTTGGGTTGCAAGCGGACCACCTAGAACCCCACACACGGAAATCTTGAGAAGGGTTAATATACAAGTCCAATTATTTGTGGGCTTCCATGCCCTACCAGGTATGGTTACATGAAAATGACATACTTTTCTTTTTACTCACCTAAGCATGGACGACCAATGCCCTTGAAATCTCAATTTTATGTCCTTTGAAAATGGCCTCCTCTGAAAAAGAAATAAAACAATTAGACTTAAAAGTACCAAAGCAACAAGATAAACAATAACAAAAACACAGAAGACAAAACAGAGACCCATGCAGCCAAATGGCTGGATTAAAAATGACCTTGTGCAGCTAATCACACTGTGATGTAATGTGATGTCATGCACAGCCAATTACACTGACATCACATGGATTGTGATTGTCTGGACAATCAAGCCAGTCTTGCCTAGGTTAGGTGTATTTAAAAAAAAATTTAAAAAAATGCGAGTGGACTGGCGTTGGGAGATTTAGATGGCACAATTTTATTAATGTTCAAAGACAACAAATAATGACTGTAACAATGTGATAAATGGATCCAGCTGAGTTTAAAGGAGATAATCTTTAATAGTACAGTTATTCGAGTGACTCTAGATACGGAGGTCGCACTCATTGATCTGAGTTTCTGATAATATCTGCTCTGGTCATGTCTGCCAACACTTAAAGCACTTTAGCTTGATGAAGAGTGTATTGTCATCATTTTACAAAATAGTGCAGATTTCAATAGATATTTGCACTTTTATAAATTAACTTTGTTAGGCCCCGCTGGGTGCCAATCAGAGAACAGGTCCCGTTACTTCCTGGTTTGCACCCAATGGAGCTAAACTCAAGAGGCAGCAACTGCCCAGAGCGCCTGCCTTGCAAAAGACTTCTCATTGAGCTGCATTAGGAAGTCTGTGATTGGACAGACACAGAAAGTCTGGGCGGGGTTAGAAGGGGAGGGTTTGCAAAGGCAACAGACAAGAGATCATCAGTTTTTGCAAGTGGTTTTTAAATATACCCCCAATGGGAAAAATGCATAATTAAATGCATTTATGTTTTCATTGAGAGTAGATCCACTAAACAGTGTTTTTTTTAAATCTGTATTTTGTATTTAGTCAGTGGAGTGTCCCTTCAAGCTAATTATGTAGCTTCAAACCAGATCACTTTTCACCCACGTAGCGCCACATTGGTAGAGGCACCCGTAGAACAAGCAAAACAAGTCCCTGCTTGCCAATGCACACCACAGGGGTGGAATTATCACAAGTAGAAAATCATCAGATAAGCACAGCCATTAAAGCTATTAAACTTCTTGGGAGAAAAGATAATAATATTATGTGATCTCTGCCCATCTAAACTGGTGCACACTTAGGGTTGCCAGAGTTACATATGTTATGTTTGTAGTATTCACATGCTGCAGGAGAGTAACCAGTTAACTAATGAATATTTTTCTAAAGATAATTCTTATTAATTTATTTCTCTCCCACAGGATATGGACACTACATATTGTGTGACAGCAGCTTTTCATGCACTGCTCATCAGGAAGAATAAGTTAAACATGTCCAAGAAAATAAGGTTAATCTGGCAATTTAAGCAAGAATTTCCATGGTTGAAGTGACGGTGGCGAAGTCAGGGCTTGAGTCTCCTCTTGCTGTTAAACTGTTAATTACTGTAATCAGAGCAGGTCTGTGAAACATCTGAAAACTCCTGTCAGCCTCATATCTCCAAGGATAGCATGTTATCGGTGGAAGACAGAACTAACAGCAGATTTTCAAGAGCTTGTCTCCAAGTTACAATGTGGGAGGAAGAAGAGATCTCACTAGAACACAAGTTTTCTGGCTACAGAAACATTCTGTTCTCCCACATAACAAAGACACAAGGCAAGGATCATAAAGCTGGGTAGGAATATGTAGGGTAGCGATCAGAACCTGGGTACAAATATGCAGGGCAGCGATCAGAAGCTGGGTACGAATATTCAGTGCAGCTATCAGAAGCTGGGTACGAATATTCAGTGCAGCGATCAGAAGCTGGGTACAAATATTCAGGGTAGGGATCAGACGCTGGGTAAGAATATGCAGGGTAGAGATCAGAAGCTGGGTACGAATATGCAGGGCAGCGATCAGAAGCTGGGTACGAATATTCAGGGTAGAGATCAGAAGCTGGGTACGAATATGCAGGGTAGAGATCAGAAGCTGGGTACAAATATTCAGTGCAGCGATCAGAAGCTGGGTACAAATATTCAGGGTAGGGATCAGACGCTGGGTAAGAATATGCAGGGTAGAGATCAGAAGCTGGGTACGAATATGCAGGGTAGAGATCAGAAGCTGGGTACAAATATTCAGTGCAGCGATCAGAAGCTGGGTACAAATATTCAGGGTAGGGATCAGAAGCTGGGTACAAATATTCAGGGTAGGGATCAGACGCTGGGTAAGAATATGCAGGGTAGAGATCAGAAGCTGGGTACGAATATGCAGGGCAGCGATCAGAAGCTGGGTACGAATATTCAGGGTAGAGATCAGAAGCTGGGTACGAATATGCAGGGTAGAGATCAGAAGCTGGGTACAAATATTCAGTGCAGCGATCAGAAGCTGGGTACAAATATTCAGGGTAGGGATCAGACGCTGGGTAAGAATATGCAGGGTAGAGATCAGAAGCTGGGTACGAATATGCAGGGCAGCGATCAGAAGCTGTGTACGAATATGCAGGGCAGCGATCAGAAGCTGGGTACGAATATGCAGGGTAGAGATCAGAAGCTGGGTACAAATATTCAGTGCAGCGATCAGAAGCTGGGTACAAATATTCAGGGTAGGGATCAGACGCTGGGTAAGAATATGCAGGGTAGAGATCAGAAGCTGGGTACGAATATGCAGTGCAGCGATCAGAAGCTGGGTACGAATATGCAGGGTAGGGATCAGACGCTGGGTAAGAATATGCAGGGTAGAGATCAGAAGCTGGGTACGAATATGCAGGGCAGCGATCAGAAGCTGGGTACGAATATGCAGGGCAGTGATCAGAAGCTGGGTACGAATATGCAGGGTAGAGATCAGAAGCTGGGTACGAATATTCAGTGCAGCGATCAGAAGCTGGGTACGAATATGCAGGGTAGAGATCAGAAGCTGGGTACAAATATTCAGTGCAGCGATCAGAAGCTGGGTACAAATATTCAGGGTAGGGATCAGACGCTGGGTAAGAATATGCAGGGTAGAGATCAGAAGCTGGGTACGAATATGCAGGGCAGCGATCAGAAGCTGGGTACGAATATGCAGGGCAGCGATCAGAAGCTGGGTATGAATATGCAGGGTAGCGATCAGAAACTATGAAGGGCCCGGGATCTAAAGTCGCTCTAAAGGGATAAAAGTACAACACTGGGGATGGAAATGCAGAGTAGGGTATGACACTGTGTATGGAGACACAGGGCAGGGATTTGACACTGGACATGGAGACTCAAGATAGGATCTGACACTGGTCATGGAGACACGGGGTAGGGTCTGACAATAGGCATGGAGACACAGGGCAGGGTCTGACACTAGGCATGAGATGCATGGCAGGGTCTGACACTAAGCATGGAGACACAGGGCAGAGTCTGACACTGGGCATGACATGCAGGGCAGAGTCTGACACTACGCATGGAGACACAGGGCAGGGTCTGACACTAGACATGGAGACACAGGGCAAGGTCTGACACTTGATATGACATGCAGGGCAGGGTCTGACACTGGACATGAGATGCAGGGCAGGGATCTGAAGTCAAGTATCAAGAAAAAGGAAAGAGATCTGAAGCTAGATATTGAGATGCAGGGCATCTTTTTAAGGGAAATGTAGTTCACTTTGCTGCAGCAGAGGCAACATATTACAATACAGTCAAACTGAAAGCACCGAATGCATTCATTCCCTGTGCCAACAATTATGTGGCAGCTATTGTCCGTGATAACTGTAAGGATGGGTATGGGCAACATTTTTGTATATGTTGGAATTGGCAAATCAATTCTCAGTATGTATAGGTAATAAATATGCAGCCTTTATAACATATCCCTGTACCACAAATCTTCTAATTAAACTGGACAGACATATGTACACAAATACCAAGGAAAACATTAGTTATACCTACAGAGGTTCTGTTAAGTGATATGCTATATAAAGCATTGTATACCTCGTTCCGACTGCCATAAACATGAAATATGGTATATTTAAATCATGAGGAATTCCCACCGTCCATGTGTGAGATGTAAAAGCACCTTTTAAAAGCTAATAGTCTTAGCAGTAATTCCTCTTCTGTCTCCAGACATCCTCCTTCAAATCCCTCACAATAACATTAGTGGAAAGACAGGATTCCTAACTCCCCTTGGGTTAATTAGACAAGACAGGAGATAGAAGGATTTGTGTACCAGCTACCGCCCAGACACGATCTGTATGGCTTTCATCTTCATTCATGTTTTATTTTTATGGATCTGTGACAGGCTAACGAGGCAGACATAAACGAGCCCAGTGGTACTGATTTCTGTGACATGTAACAGTGGCCAGGGCGTTCGCTCTGACAGAACACATGGCGATATCCACTGTAAAACTATACAACCGATGTTATCAATGTGCAAGTAGTGACTGGCAGCCCCGATCCTGGCACATAAATTAAATTTTTACGAAGATTTGCCAACAGAAAACATCTTGGAAAATAAATGTAAAAAAATATCTCACTGGACCTCTCGGCCGGGACAATGGTTGAAAAGAAAGGGTCTTGTTACTGCACAACCTCTTTAGAAGCAGTGCTATAGACTCGTATTCCAAGATTCAAGAGGATGGCCAATTGACAGCTGACATCAAGCTGTGCACACACTACATTCATTTCAGGATAAGACACGTGATTTAATATGGAGAGGGAATTACTAAAATCAAACCTCAGGGAATCATGCTTCACCTCAATATTTCTTAAACCACTTCACTGGCACTATTCCATATCTGTAATTAGTGCCAGGATGTGCTGGAGATTTCTTGTTGCACCATGACCCCCGAAACTTATGGATCCTATGAGACGGTCATCAATTTGGATCCCTGTTCAGACGTCTTAAGATATTCCATAAATAGGTGCTCCAAAACGGTAGCATGAGGCATTATTAAGCTAGTTCACAGCTACAATAGGCCAATGGAAGGCGTTTACTGCCATAAAAGAACATTTCCTCAATCCTGGTTGGTGGGATGGCTTGCAAGCAAAACTACTGGTCAACCCAGCCGCCCTATGTGCACGGCTCACATGGTCCTACAGTGACCATACTATGAGTTCTGTATATAGAGCAACTCAAGGAAAAGTAATAAAATTTTATATTTCCCTGGGAAAAAAATATTTACTAATTTAAATCTCAATTTAATATTTCAGGATAAATATTCTCGCCACCTAGCTGGGGGATCAAGTGGAGGTAGACTGGGATAGCCCCCGCCGGTCGGGGGGGGGGGTGACTGGGCCCAGAGTCGTGTATCTGGCTGGTCGAAGTGGCCTTCTTCCCCGCGCCCGCCATGCTGATAGGTCTCACCGTAATTTCGGGTGTGCCTGTGTTACGTTGTCGCTTGGGTGGTGTCTGTGCGTGCGCCCTTGTATCTCCTGTCACTTGGTGGCCTTTGTGTGTTATTTTAGTACCGTTTTGGTGTCTGGATTCCGCTTTTTTGGGGGGGGATTCCGCGGTCAGGGCCTGTCCCCCTATTGTGTTTTTCCCCCCACTAATTTTTGCATTTCCTTTGTTATTACCCTGCACCTATTTAAGAAGAACACCTCCCTCTGCAGCAATAAAATGCAAAGTGCTAAGTAAACCTGTTAACAATATATAAAATGAACACACTGTACATTCGCTGCACATCTTTACTGTAATGTTACCTGTAAAGTGCTAAGTACACCCGTCAGCACTATATACATATTCTGTATACTTATCCTTCTATATCATCCCTTTACTGTAACATAACCTGTAAAGTGCAATTATAAAATATGTTATCCCTCCCAATATTCAAGGTTGCTGGTGCTAGGCACATGGGGCATATATGATAAAGAGTTTGCCTGGCTGGTAGCAAAGGTGACACACTAAGCACCCACCAATGATTATCAGGAGTGCATGCGCAGTAAGTCTGTGACGGAGTCATGCATTGTTTATCAAGTGGTACATATTAGCTGCGAAGACCAGTGGTAATGTCACTGCTTTGGAATTGGGGAACTCAGGTTCAAGTCCTGATCATACTCCTTTTTCAGTAAGGGCAAGAAAACTAAATATATATCCATAGTATGGCCAGGGCCTTCATAACATTTAAATATCTCCTTTCTATTATTATAAAGGGCTCTGCAATATGTTGGCACAATATATAAATGCTTCTATGTACGTAGTGGGGAATCGCGATGCAGCCTAGAAAAATCTAGCCCCATTAAACCCCCCCAATAACGACAAACAACTTAGTATGGATGAACAGGCCACAGCATTTATTATAACATAAATAAATTACTGCATAACACATCCATAACTTTTTATTAAATCTCTTCTTTCTGTAACGAAATAAATAATCATAAATTAACATATAAACATATTACTCAACACAGTGTTATGCAGTGACCCAACCGTCCTTGCCAATAAACATACAGTGGTTCCTAACCACCACTTCCTCTCACCTCCCCCCTCGTCATAAATCATCTCTTTCCAATGCCCGCCATCAGCCGACCTTATCCACGCTCAATGGGCACGACACCTCAGGCAACCTAATGTTAACCGTTTGAAGCAGGGGAGGTTGAGACCTGCAAACATAATGAACTTACTCCATCCTTAAACATAACCCTTCAAACTTAATTGGCAAGGACATACCCCCGCCTCGCTGTGACTAACTAATCCTACAAGGGGTGGGTGGGCGGGAAGCTGTTTGCTGGCCCGAATCCCAAGTGGCACTGAGGTAAGACCTCCCCCACACTAACTTATATTGAACCTAACCCCTCCCACACACACACATTACCCAAGTCACTCCCCTGCATCTATCCCCACACTCCTACATGTGCCTTTGTCCGCTTAGCTGCACTATCTCCCCAGGGTCTAATAATGAATAGAATGATAAATCACTATTAAAAAAACCCACGGTGGGGAAAAAGGCTGCTTTGTGTCCTTTTCTGGGCTGCATAGTATTTTCCCACATCAGGAACAAGTACCTGGAGCTTCAGACACGTCCCAAACAAGACTCACTGACATAATCCTTCAACGGAGCTTTCCTGTGACCCACACTTGGAGGACAAGGCAAGTGTTGGCATCCAGGCTCTTCAAGCATGAAGTGTCCCCGATAAGCAGACAGAGATACCAGGGTTTGAGTATGACATGTTGGGAGAGGGAATCCAGGCTTGTCTTTAGTTCTCCATGAAAGCTGGTGTTAACACGGGGAATTTAACACCTGATAGTGCTGAAATGCTCATCTACCTCCTGCTCTATGGGATTCGCAGAGATTTTACAAGTGAAAGGGACAAAACCCTCCTCGCCCAGCATCATAGGCCTCAACAGGCTGAAGATATGCTCTTCTTTGGAACATAAGCCATCTCTAAGTCTCTTGCTTACTGTAAAGACTAAACAATGTATTTAACCATTTGTGTGCCTGGAAAGAAGTGCTACGTTTTCTCACGCAGCAATAAATGGGTAGAATCATTCCCCCCCCCCAACACGTCCCTCCATTCATTAAATTAAATGAATCATGCAGCAAACAGCTAGCCATATTTGTGCTTTATCTGGTAGTAAATGAAAACTCTTCATACTCGTACAGCTTGGCACTGTGCAACCTCATTGGAACCAGAAGCGGGTTCACTAAACAGCGGAGGGAGGTAGGATATTAATTACTTAAAAAATGCTGAAGCACGTTGATAAACTTGCAACATCTGTCACACACATTAAAAACCCCTGGCAGAAACAAAGCTGAGGGAGATGTCAATATGTTTGTCCTAAATGAACCTTGAAATGCAAACTTTCCCCTCTCCATTTAGTAAACAGCAAACTGTGGTGAATCATCAACTTAAATGAAATATAAACAAAAACTGCCAAAGTGAAAAAATTACCAATTTGAAAAAGGTCTTAATTAAAGGTACAGTAGGCACAATAAATATTTTATCTCATTGAATTGGTTATAGTGCCTGGAGTCCCCTGGCACTATCCTTCCATTCAGTGTTAAACCATTTTCTAGAATGTAACATAAAATGAAAGTCCCTGGCCACAGCCCAGCCCAGCCCCTACTGGAGGTGTGGCTAAAGCAGAGATTACACATTTCCTTTTAGCCGTACCAAATTCATACCAACAAAGGGAGCCGTGAAAGGCTGAAAGAAGTCACCTGACACTCTCAGCCAATCACAGCTGACCATTGCTGCTCAGGCTAATCCTCCCTCATTAGCCCAAGCAGCACAAAGGGATAGGCTGCTTGTGACTCATTAGCTGTAAAACATTAAAAAC